AACACCGGATGTTCAAAATAATACCATGATCGACAGATTAAAGACAATAGCGTCGGAATCAGACTATACTCGAGAAAAGGAGGATACTCCATTATTGGTACATCAGCGCCTACCACAACGTACGTGGACTAGAAATTACCAATTAATGCAGGAGCAGCCACGACAGAGATCGAACAATAGTAGTAAGGATCGTTCTGATACGAGAATATTTGGACAAAATAATGGAAATATACGAAGAGGTCATTTCAATAGAACATTCTATGGGGGAAATCAATATAATCAAAATAACCAGATTATGAACCCCGAAACTACTACCATCTCTACCAATATCAATCCTAATCAATGACTTCCTATGAGGACTATGCATGACTGAGCTCAAACGGAACCAATACGGGTTTCGAATAGTGTTTTCACTATAGGAAATGTAGTCTTAGATAGGGATGAATTAAATATCTTGGAATATGGTTTGAACTATATTCCTTCAAAAATATTGAGTATAGAGGATCAATTGAAAGCTGATCTTGAATTGACAGCGAATAGATATCCCGAATTACAAATGAATGTCGGTCTAGTTCGGGATTCTATAGTTTACAATTCAGATCCGTTTAGCCCGAACTTGCATAGATCTCAGTATAAGTCATTGAATAATCTAAAACGACGAAACGATATTGTAATAAAACAAGCGGACAAAGGTCAAGGCACTGTTGTAATCTCAAGAGAAGTATATGAAGCTAAAACATATGCATTATTAGAAGATAAAAAGAGCTATGAGGAACTTTCTGAGAATCCAATGTGGACAACATATGAAACTGTCCGAGATGAAATTAAAGATTTGATAAAAACAGGAAATATCCCAAAAGAATATGTTTCAAGAATTCGATTGAGGGGCAGACCGAAATTACCGAGGTTTTACATTTTACCTAAGGTACATAAAAAGCTATGTCCAGGAAGACCAGTTGTTTCAGGGATCGGTCACTCGACGGAAAAACCGTCGAAATTCCTGGATTTACTATTGAAACCACATATTTAAAAATCATCGGAAATCATCAGAGAAAAGTTCCATATCTCATTTTATCATGTTCTTGATAGTACAACACGCTTGATTAATGAGATTATTGAGTTAAATAAGGAGATAAAGGAAGAATCATATGACTTAAAACAAATATATTTTGCCACAACGGACATTGAGTCACTTTATACGAATATCCCAATTCTGGAGGGCGCAGCAAAAGTAGCCAAATTTGCTAAAGAAAATAGTTCTTATCTACAAATAGAATTAAGACAACCAGTGCTTTTTACATTATTAAAAATGGTATTAAAAAATAATTAAAATTCTATAAACAGAAATTCGGAACAGCAATGGGAACTCCTTGTGCTCCTTCGTATGCAAATATATTTGTTTTAATTCACGAGTTGAAACACTTATTAAAAATGGACTTGAAACCGTTAAGATGGTTTAGATATCTAGACGATGTCATTTTTATATGGTTAGGAGAAAAACAAAAGTTTGAGGAATTTCTAAATAAATTGAAGAATATTCACCCTAGCTTAAAATACAAAATTGAAAATATTGATCATGATCAGATCAACTTTTGGGATGTAGTCATTTATAAAGACTACGTGAAAAATCAACTAGGGACAAGAATTTTTGTTAAACCAACGGACACGTTTCAGTACGTAAGAGAGAAATCGGCTCATCCGAAACATATTATTGAAAACATAGCTACTACATTGGCACATCGTGTCAAACGTATATGTTCGGATGATACAGAGAAATGGAAAGCATATGCCGAAATCTTTCTACGCCTACTGAAACGTGGCCATAACGGAAACTTGGTTTTATTAAAAATCAGAAAAGTCGATCAACTAAACCGAGAACGATTACTGAAAATGCGAGATACGGAAGTGACAACAGAGAAATATAATTGTAAAAAGATTATCTCACTGACATATAATAAACAATTGAAAAACATAAAATACACGTTTGAAAACTATTCGAAATACACAGTAAACTAGTCGAAATATAGATTTGTCTATAAATGTCCCCCTAATCTGAAACAGATTCTTGTACATCGAGAATATACGGGAAACCTCAAATATTTAGCCCCAACACAGATGAACCAGAATATCGGATTTTTTAAATGCCACCGAGTAGGATGTTCCTGTTGTAAATACAGTAGAGAAGGTTCGTCTTTTCTTGGTACTGTTTTTGGGACAGAGATAAAGATTCGACAATATATTACTTGTCGGACAACGAATATTCGCTACTATATCCGATGTAAACGATGTACTGTGGAATATGTGGGTGAATCGGGAAATTCTGGACACTATCGTTTAATAAGACACCTCTCTCAAGTAAGAACGATAAGAAAAACGAGTATAGGTATACACTTCAGTATTCACAATCACTCAATGAAAGATCTAGAAATCATTCCGTTCGAAAGTGGATACCAGGGTTTAGAACATCGACAAGCTAGGGAAGACTATTGGCGAGAGGTGTTACAGCCAATCCTGAATAAAGATAATATTACTGAACCGCGACAGTTCAACATTACCATATGAATCCACCCTTCCATTAGAACCAATTTCAAGATCGGAGTCCATTAGATGTGTTCAACGTTATTTAAGAAAGATATTCTCTTAGTCGTAGGACTATTAGGCCATTCTTTTTAAAAGTAATTACTTTTCATAAGTGATTTGTGTTTCCTATGTGGAATAGTTACCTATACATACAAACACATACATAGTCACACCTTGATACATATATTATTACAGACAGCACACAGACACCCACAAACAGCGTACAGACACCCACAGGCAGCCACAACCAGCGCTCAGACAGCACACAGACACCCACAAACAGCGTACAGACACCCACAGGCAGCACACAAACATCCACAGACAGCACACAGACACCCACAAACAGCGCACAGACACCGAGTAATAAACTGAATGAGTTTCTAACTTGAATTAGTTAGAATATAATGATTTGTAATTTTTAGAGATATTTCAATTTTATTTGACATATGTTTCGGCTATAAGCCTTTTTCAAAATATAGATCTGAAAAAATATACAAATCATAGTAGAAAGATGAGTATTAATTTAAAGAAAAACAAAAACAAAAATTAGAGAAATAACTAAATATTTATAGTACAAGTAAGAATGGAAAGTAGAAAAGAGATACACTCCTAAGAGTGTCTGTACAGCTGAAGCTTAGATAAACAAATGACTTGCACCTCTTGACGTTACATTATATAACACTGATAGTGATATAGTGTTCACATTTCGGTCAAGGATAAACTATTTTGGAAAAACAAAGAAAAAGAAGAAAGACATAGAAGGTATATGTAGATATACGAAATTTAGTCCACTATGTAAATGAGAATGAAGGAGAGAAAATATCTATAAATTAGAATTAGAAATACGCAAAACAAAGAATATATAGAGGTTATATAAAAGACCATAAATCATTGATATAGGTACTTTATGATTTTTTTAATGCTTCAGATCATATAGTGACAGATAGTCTTGCCATGTGAGGTAACATTCTTACCAACCAGTTAATTTCCATTAACTCACTGGTATAACTTTCCAAAACGAAATATCAGAACATATATGAATCTGATATGAAGAAGTTAATTGCATATTCTACTATGCGGCTTGTCCAAACGTAATGGCGTAACATTTTTGACATACTTATCTTTGATTATCTCCAATATCGTAAGAGCTAGGAAGCTCATTCTAGCGTCATTCGACGCAACTCGTTTTACTCTACTTATGGTAAAAAGATGAAGTTTGTCGGTCTAAGTCTCGAGCTTCTAGAAAGATTTCTTTAGTACGTAACAGCGTGACACAAAAAGGCCCCTTTTTTGTAAACCTCCTGAAAAAATTCCAGTTTCCTGCGAAAGTATCAGTTCTAAAGGAAAGTTTCAAGAGCAAAGTTTGTAGAGCATCGAACGAGCTATCTGTTGATAAGGAAATTTTTCTTTTAACTATTTTTGCTCGGGTTTAAAATCCAAAAGAAAAACGTAACGGCGTGACATTTTTCGTAACGGCTTGACACACTTTTTTGTCCTCGCGTCCTGGGACACTAAACCTGCTCCAAAACTTTTCATTTTTTAATTTGAAGCAGGATTCCTCAACCGGTATCGGCTCATGACAAAAGAAAGTTGAAAAAATGCTTTCAGCTGGAGAAAATCAGCCGGAAACTTCAAACTTTGAGAAGTTTCCAGAACGCGGTCATGAATTTCAAACCTCGAAAAAATTATGCCATTTTGTGGATAATCGAATTTTCTATCGAATGGTATACTTTTAAAATTGTTTTGACAAAATTTCTTGGTTAGGAAGCGCGAAATACGATTTTCGAAAAGTTCAAAAACGGATTTTGGGGATCAAAAACCAACTTGTTCCAAAAACTAATATCAGATTCGTAATCAGCGTGAAAAACTGCGTCTGAACATGTACTCAAATCGTTTGTAGCACAAAAAATGTTTTCAAAAAACTTGATCAAGGAAGTGTCGCGTTATGTGGACAAGCCGTATGAATCATGTTTGTTTGATATTGTATTTGATATCATTAACTCTCTATAAAGTTGCGTTTTTTCATTTAAATATTCATGCTATGTTTAAATCTATGTTGTTCACGGGGTTTGGAGTTATTATGTTAATATCATATCATAATCAGGTAGACAGTCTTATTACTTTGCATTATAACAGTCCTATCTTTAAAACTTTTTACTATTTTTCTTGTTTAAGATTAAGTGGTTTACCTTTTTTAACTGTTTTTGTTTTCTAAAGATTTTATTATTGAGAGCATAGTAAAATTGAATTTGTCAGGTAAATTTTTGGTAATTGGCCAAATAAGAATTGTTAATAAGAATTTATATATATTTGAAAGTATCGTTTCTATTACTTTCAGTCTTATGAGGAGCGTTTCTGTGAGAAAATTTAATGAGATTAAAATATTATTATTATTATTAAATCGGTGAGTTCTTTTTTAATTTTAGTTTAGATAATTTAAGCATAAAATATGATTTTGAAGAAATCAAGATTAATATTCTATTTTTTCTGGTGTCTGGCATATATTGTTTTCGTTAGTAAGGTGGTTTAGAGCAGAATGTTACTGTAAGTTTTCAAAAGTTAAGGTTAATCTACAAATTTAAGCCAAGAAGTTGTAGGATTCATACTCCTGATATTTTGTTTGTATTTTAATATAGTTCTATTAGATTATGTAAAGAATTATTATAAAATAGTTTTATTTCTATTTCGTTAATAGCGTGCCAGCATCTGTGGTTAAACGAATAAAGTAGTTAAATAATAAATGTTATATAAAATTAAGGATTTTAGGTTTTGATAATTATAATAGTTAGGGCGAGCAGGATTAGAGATCCTGTTAGTTCGTTGGTTAGGAGTAGAAAAAAAATTAAATTTATTGACGGTTTAAATTAAATAAAGAAATTTGTATCTTAATTAGATTTCTCCCACTAATGATAGAACTAAGATTTTATAATTTTGTACGTTTTATGTTTATATGTATTAATAATTTTATTCAGATACACATAGATTACTTTTGAGGGTGTATGAATTGCACTGAAATTATAGAAGACTAAAACGAAAGCTGAATTTAAGATGCACGGAAAACAGACTTCGAGTGAAAGTTTGTTTCGACTTTTGTATACACCATTCGAAAGAAGACATCGCGCTGATCACGAATATGCGTTCTTCGAGTTTTTTTGAAACTTTTTTCTAGTCGAAAAACTCGAAAAAGAGAACGAGGGTCAAAAGTTCAAAAAAAGTAACTTCTCAAAGAAATAAGCATATCTTTTTCGTGTTACGATTTCAAGGGTCGAATCAAAGGTTTTTGGATTCAGCACCAAAAACTAGACCAGAAACTAGTTTCAGAACATTTCTGACATCAAACGTTTATGTGTCAAAAATTCCGCAATGTTCATGACCCAAGATATAGTGCTCGGTCTAGACCGACAAACTTCATCTTTTTACCATAAGTAGAGTAAAACGAGTTGCGTCGAA